TGTTGTCATCAATTTAAACAATTGATAGTACTGCACCCTGTTGGTAAACCTTATATCTTTTTAATGTTATTTAATATCATAGAACCAACTTGTGTAGTTGAAACAGGTGGCAAAACTATTTTATTCCTGCTCGTAAAAATTCAAACAAATCCCTTTTCATATGGAAGAAATCACAACTACTTCTTGAGTGAAAAACCGCCAAACATCTGCAAGAAACTAGTAATGGCCCTTTTAGAGTGATTTTTTCATTACGCTTTTGCTACCAGATAGCATGTTTATAGAATGATTTTTTAACTGATTAAGCAGTGTACTTTGAATCAGATGTGGCATTAGTGAATAAGGATTCTTCCATTTCGTGCTTCGTGGAATATACAAAATATCACAGTCAGGGCCCACAGTAAAATATGTAACAATTGCTACTAAAGATTTTTGCGTAAGACGAACGTACTATTTGTGATAATCAACAGCTTGAGCGAACAACTGTTAGTAAGAATAATGCTTCTACCTGGTTGCTACTTACTACTGCACTAAAAGAAAGAAACTTAACTTTTCACGTTAATTTTCGTGGTTTTAATAGCTTAATTGTTATTATACTTTTCCGATGAGCTCGGTTATCTACGGAGGCTTGATCAATTGGGGCTCAGATTATCGTGAGTCTGCATATGCTGTATTGGAGAAACCTAACCTCATGTTCAAATTTAATGTTAGAAAAGTCATTATAACATGTACTATACCATATTTACTCATATTAATTCAGTGTCTTAAGCTGGGTTTTCCTAGGCGCGGAGTCGGCCAGCGGAGAGAGGAACGCGGAGAGCGGACTCAGCTCGTCTTAGGCAATTTAATGTTACTGTTTTCCTAGAAGCGGAGCGGAATGCCATGTTAATTTCAATTCCGCTCTCCGCGTTCCTCTCTCCGCTGGCCGACTCCGCGTCTAGGAAAACCCAGCTTTACTTACAAAAAAAAAAGATTTCCATATTAAAGTTAATTAAAATCATTGAAATCCCTTTATTGACAGTACAGTGTACAGTACACTTAATACGAGTCCCGTATATCAATTCACTACTGACATAATGTGTGCGGCACATTTAATCTAAATCTGGCCTGGTTTACCTTAGCTATTATTTCCCTCGTGGTTCAATAACCTGGCTTCCTAAGGTCGGGAAAAAAAGTCGGGGCGTCCTCCCCCCATAACAGGTAGACGGGCAATCCTAATCCCTTGTTGATAAACAACAGTGTCTTTGTTACGGGCGACCACCAGGGACTGCTGGCATCCTGGGCGCATCCGACTTGCGCATAATCCCGGGTCATCAGCGGGGGGTCGACAAATTTCAACGCACCCCAACGTCCGACTTGCGCATCGTCCAGTCAGGCAGACTAATTGGGTAATCAAGCGTTATTAACAGAGGTTGTATAATTGGTTACCTAGGCTGCAGGTCTGTTGTAGGGGAGGTTTTGACAATATGAGAATCAAGGAACCATCAAAACAGTTGTGTTTGACAAGTATCCCTGCTCCTCACACGACATTTTTCAATTGGGAGTTTAACAGAGTTGGCGTTAATTTTTACTGATATTATTGAAATTATACATTACTTTTAAAGGCTGTAAGATTTTAATTGAAATACAGTAGTTAGTTTTAAAGATTATAGCCTACTTAAAGAAAAAAAATTGAAAATCCTTAGTATGTACAGTAATAAAATATAACGTGCTCACATATATGCATACATATTCATTTTATCAAACTGTGTTTTTACCCTATGGGGACTTTGAAACTAAAAGTTATAATGGCCATACGCCATCGTGGTAACGACTTTATCCTTATAGGAAATCTGTTTAAAACCTGGTCAAATTGATAAATCTCTTATTAAAATTCTGAATATTTATGTGTCCTTACAAATAAATATGAGTAATTTGCTGTAAGTTCCATTATTGTAAATAAACTTGTGTTTTTGTATTTTCTAATTTAACCCAGTATCCAATATTTTGTGTGTGTGTATATTTAAAAGAGCCTTAAACTGCTAATACTCTTTAGTACATTATTATTAGAGCGATAATCAAAATTAGGAATTTTGAATCCCAAAGTTTTGACGGTTTTGGAATTTGGTTTTGACACATCATTAGGCTACATTAATATTTGGCTGTAGAGTGAGACGTAAATTTCCCAGGATTCTTAGAACGTAAAGGTATGCTAATGCGCGTTCTTGTATCCGAGCATGTCAACGCTTACGTCAATAATATTTGCTGGTATGGAATACAACCCTTAAAAATAACGAACTTTGTTTCCACCGTGGTCACCATGGCAGTATCACAGTTTAATTCGAGACGTTGTCGTGGTAAGTTAGTTCAGTTCAGAGTTTGTGCGCGATGAAAAAAATGTTTAGTTCAAAAGGGGTTGCCCTTTTTGGTAAAAGAAAATTTTACATTACGATTTGATAATAAGCTGAAGATTTCAGAAGAGGAACGGTGGCGATGTAGTGTTAAATCGTGTTATGCAGTGATCTACACTTTAGAAGAAGGAAACTTGGAATCCAGGTGTACGGGTGTTCATAACCACGAACCTCTAAGTGAAGAACAGTTGAATCGGAGGAAGGTGAACAACGCAGTGAAGAGGAAGGCAACCGAGTGTGTTGGTGAGCGGTCGGCCAAACTTTTATATGATGAACTTAAACCCAAGAAAAAACTCGGAACTTTATAAGATGATCCTTTTTTTAAATAGGATAAGGCCATAAATAAAAACTAGCGTCAGTGCTGTGACCCTTTTAGGCATTTAGGGGTCGTTTTTTATTAATGACAGTTCAGTTAACTACACCACACCATCTGTTTCTCAATCCTAATTTGTAAAGTAGGCCTACTGTTAGGACCAAGCCTTGCTCAGTAGTATTTTGATTTCGACTAGTTTTTGTTATTACTGTTGATCAAGATTCCTTAAATAAAGCGTAGGCCTTACTAGGAAAACACATGCGAATTGTTAATGTTAACACGAAAAACGATTAATATAAAACGTATTTTATTGTTATGTTTACAGAAACATTGAGCGAACTGTACATTACAAAATAGATGACCCGGCGAACTTTGTACCCCATAAAAGTAAAAAAAAACCAAATCAACCGGCCACCTTTATAAGCCTTTTAAAAACAATCACATACAACATAAAACAGCTGAAAATGACTTTCAATTACATTACCTGTCAAATGTTTAATCAGCTGTTTCGAAAATATATTTTTTTTTTGTTATTTGTTTATTTATTTAAATTATTTATTTAAATTATCGAAAATATTTAAATTAATGTATGCATATGGTCAAAATCCATCATATTTTTCTTCATACGCATAACATACATTATGTGGGGCTTAGCCCTAAATTTAAATACTGAACTGAAGATACATGTGTTAATCGTGTTAAAGACGAATCCAACAAATCATAAATCATTAAAAAGATCCAGCCGGTCTCGAGTTACAAACTGCTTAACTAACACGACATCATGGCATGTAGCGTATATCTAGATGCATACTAAGAAAGTGTTTAAAAGTATTTTTTCTCAAAGTCCTGATATGATGTAGAAAATCCATCATAGCGACCACTTTCAATTTCCATAGCTTTATATATTTTAATTCACGTAAATTTCACGCCTAAATAACCCCATTTCAGAAGATTTGCATATTCACTTTAACTATACCTCGAGTTATACATTACCTGATTTTAGAGTTTTGGTCCAAGAAGGAAGTACCGGTAATTATTTTATAGGGCAAGCCTACTTGCGTGCAACCGCATCTTGTTTACAAAAAGGTAAATTAAGTAATAAATTACAGCATCTCAAATATATCATAATTTATCACTCTATAATGCATAAAAAATATCATTTCATTGAAATAATATTAGTTAACTGAATGATAAATTGTAATTTCTTTGACAAGCTGTAACTTCTAAATGAAAAAAAAAACTTTTTTTAACCAGGTTAACGCACACCCCCTTCCGAAAAATGACTGCAAGGTTTCATTCAATTGTGCCAAATACTTTAGTAGGTATCAGACGTTTTCCAAATTATAAACTTGAGTTTAATGGCATAATATTAAAAGCCTTGAGGAACTGTAACTTTGATTAGATGGACCATTTACGAAGCGGTTTGTGCTGTTAAAGTTAATGTTATTATCAATGTGTATGCATTAATTGACATGCATCAAGTATTGACACGTTTCTGCTTCCAAACATCAGACTAGTAAGTAAAACGAAAAGGTGGGCCTATTGAGGGCAGCGGTGCCAATCTGTCGTATACTGTTACGACTGATTGGCACCTCTGCGGCCGCCGTCAGCTTGGCACCGCGACAGATTGGCACCACTCATTTCTCGAGGTTCCAATCCGTCGTGTACTGTTACGACTGATTGGCACCTCTGCGGCAGCCGTCAGCTTGGCACCACGGCAGATTGGCACCACCCCTTTCTCCAGGTTCCAATCTGTCGTGTACTGTTACGACTGATTGGCACCTCTAGGAGCGGTGCCAATCTGTCGTGGTGCCAATCTGACGCGGTGCCAATTAGACGCGTACCCATTAATGTTCCCTTTAACAGGAAAGTACCCAAATAAACTTTGTGGTCTGATGAAAACCCAGTGTTATAATCTGCCCACTCCTGTTTAAAATCTGACCTTTGCCAAGTTAGAGCAGTATTTGGTGGAAGGAAATTTGTCTTTGGAAAAGTTCTTCCCGTATCCTTGGATTTAAATGTAATGAAGGATGTACTTGTAAACTGTTTGTTATGACCAAATCTAATCACTATAAAAGTGGCCGTGGCCGCCATACAAAAAAATTGCAGTTAGAATGAATTTCTAAATTTTTATCTTCTTTTTTGTCACTGTTCTCTGTATACCAGAGGCAATGGGTACACTTCCATATCTGTTGGCACAAACAACCGAATGAGTAATATAGATTTACCCTAAACAACGTTCAAATCCCACAGTGCAATGAGGTTAAATACTTGGGCTTGACCCTTGATAGAAGACTCACTTGGAAAAGCCACATCTGGAACAAGAGAATTTCGTTAAATTTAAAATTTAAAAATCTTTCTTGGCTATTAAATCAAAATTCTCAATTAACAACAGAAAATAAATTGCTGTTATATAAAACCATTCTAAAACCAGTGTGGACGTACGGTATCCAACTGTGGGGGACACCCAGTGAATCCAATCTGAACATCATCCAAAGATTCCAATCTAAAGTTCTAAGACACATTCTCCAGGCACCATGGTTTGTCAATAACGAAGTGATTCACAGGGACAGTCGAACCCCAACAGTCAAAGAAAAAATTTCAAAATTAAGTGCCAAATACTAAAAGAAATTAGAGTACCATCCTAACTACCTTGCTTTAAAATTTATCGGACAACAGCAACTATGCATACAGATTGAAAAGATGCCATGTTTTGGACTTAAGTAGTCGTTTTTAGACTTTAAACTTTGTACCAAATATGCAAAGTTTGTGTGTTAGCTCTATTGTTGGATAAAGACTAACTACTGTGTTTAAATTTTATCAAATTTGCTTATTGTTCTATTTTTTGTTGAACAGATTGTAAATTAAATAAAATTTTACAAAAAAAAAAACTTACGACTACGACACGATTACGAATTAAAACCGCCCATCTGGTTGTTGGTCGATACTTGAACTATTCTATGACGTCACTATCACATTCCGAGGTATCCCAAAAGTTGCTCACCCACCGAGAGCAATTCCGCTGTTCCATGGCGCGGTGGCGGGGGGACGACCTTCTCGCCGCAGTATTTCACCTCCCTGTTTTTAGAACCTTTGGAACAGTTACACGGAACTGTTTGGGATAATGTTCAATGCAACTGTGACAAAAAGTATAGAATAGGTTTGGCGAAACCGTTATATTACAAGTAGCTCCGTTCCTTCTCAACTTGATTATTTTTCGTGCATAAAAATTGAATTATTATGATATACCTTTTACCTACGACCTTTTTTTAAAGTAGCCATTTCAGTTCAGTTTTTAGAATTGAAAAGTTTCACTTAACAGCTGTTTACTTTCATAACAGCATAGTTTCATTTCATAACAGCATAGTTTTTCTCATAACAACACGGGTAACGGACCAATGAGGTTCAAGGATTGAGAGATAAGAAGTAAAATTGTAAAGCTTCGAATGTCAACTAAACAGCTGATCAGCTGATCAGTTGACAATTTTAATTGTTGATCCGACTTGTTCCTGTTGATACTCGCGTATTCTTAACCTAAGTTGGTGGAAGTTAAAGGAAGGTAGATTAAACTGATTTAAAAATGTCACTGAAAGTGAAGTTGACGAGATGGAAATGAGAGCACAAACCGTTTGTGCGAACCTTTTGCCACCGAAATCGAAACAAAGGTATGAAATTACATACTAGCAATTCATTAAATGGACGAAACAAAATAAGGTTAAATTGGTAAATGATAAATGTGCTTCTGGTTTATTTTGAAACCCTCTTAACCACTTTTTCACCCAACTCGTTGTGGACCACATATTCGATGCTGAGATCTAACTGTTTCACTATATTGTTCAGTAGTTGTCCAAAAAACAGTAATGATTTCTAAAATATATCAAACAACTCATTAAAACACATTATATCTGGTATATTACACCCATTCACTTCATGTATCAACTTGTGTCTGCTTAATGGTCAACTGAAGATTTCACGTGTTTGTCCAATCTTTAAGAAAGGTACTAGGAATAGGCCTGAAAGTTATAGGCCCATATCAATCATGCCAACTCTATCAAAGTTATTGAGATACTTGGGTTTGATCAAGTCAGCAATTTTTTAGAAAATAACAATCTTATTTATATGTCTCAATATGGTTTCCGCAGTACAATGTCAACCACAGATGCCATCGATGCTTTAGTACAAGAAGTATTAAATACTTTTGAGAGGAAGGCCATTGCTTGGGCCACACTGTGTGACCTGAGCAAGGCCTTTGACTGTGTGGCCCATGATAATCTATTGTGCAAATTAGAGTCCTTAGGCATTAAGGGGTCTGCTCTCTCTTTTTTTAAATCATACCTTGAAAATCGCAAGCAACGTGTACTTTTAAATGGCTTGTGGTCGGACGAGGCTACTCTCAAGTTTGGAGTACCACAAGGCTCTGTTCTGGGACCAATGTTATTCCCAGTAGCCATAAATGACCTGCCAAAAAATACCTAGCTTAACAAAAACCATACTGTATGCTGATGACACTACTTTTGTATCAGTTAGCAATCATTAGATAATTTAAACCTTTAGCTGATGGGGCTTTAAACAAGACATCAGTGTGGTTCCAAGAAAATGGGCTTCTATTAAATAACGATAAAACACAGAATATTATTTTTAGTCTCAGGCCTGTTAACCTTAAACTGCCTAATAATGTAAGTTGTGTTAAGTTTTTAGGCATTTATCTTGATAATAATCTTCAGTGGGACAATAACATCGATCATATAGCTGCAAGATTGTCCAGAGTGGTATATCTCATTAGACGTCTTAAGTATTTTGTTGACTTTGAATACATAAAAATGGCCTACTTTGCATTTTTCCAAAGTATTTTCCGTTATGTCAATGCATTTTTGTAATGTCCAGTGACAAATAAATACGGTATTTCTGATTCTGATATATATATATATAAATTAGAACGATTGGCGTTTTTGGCCTCTGTGGACATCAAAATGAAAAAGTAATTCGGTCCCGGGCCTAGGTTTTACCATGCCACCTACGGTAATAGCTACTTCTTTATAGGGAAATTCGCTAAAAGGGAATGGAATGGAACTCTTTGTTTGTAATGTAACGGTTTTAACAAATCTATTCCAAACAGTTCCGTGTAACTGTTCCAAAAGTTAAATACCCCCGCCGCAGCAAACCTGCAGACTAAGCGAATTTCAACTTGTCTGATTACATTCTTACTCAAATATTTCCATAAATAAGACATATTTATTCCCTATTTAAATAACATTAGATTTAACAAGTGCTTAGGTTTGCTGCTACGGGGAAGGTAAAAAGTGTTTTTTGATCATACGTGAATAGTATGGGATGAAATAAATAAATTTGCCAATTTTTATCAATATATATCCATAAACAAGTAAACTACAACAATTTTTATTTTCTCCATAAGAATAACATGGGAATTTTAAATTAAACTATTTTTGAATTTTCTCCGTGACCGTTAGGCATACAACAGCGCTTCAATATACTAAATTATTTCTTTTTTTAAGCTCTACAAAACGGTTTAGAAAGAAATTGCAAAATTTTTTGTTTTTAGGGTAAAAAATGGGAAAAACACATTTTTACCCCATAAAATCCCCCAAAAACCCCTGTTCCCATGGTCCGATTATGCTGGATCGCGAACTCGTTCGAATAAACGTAGGTTTACACGTTTGTACCAAATTTCATCAAAATCGGATCATTTTTGCTCGAGTTATCGCGCTAACGGACACATATATATATATATATATAAATATATATATAAATATATATATAAATATATATATAAATATATATATATATATATATGAATTTGAACGGATGGTGTTTTAGGCCTCTAGGGACCTCAAAATGAAAAATTAGATCGGTCTCGGGTCCAGGTCTTACCATGAGTACTACGGTAATAGCTTATTCCCTATATGGGAAATTCGCTAAAAAAAGGAAGGGGAAATACTGCTGTGAGAAGGTCGTGGCGGGGGTCTGGGTCCTCCATCCCATGGACGGTCTCGTTACGACCTTCTAGTCGAAGGGGGAGGTGCAGATGTCGCGCATGCGCAAAAGCTGTCACTGTTGTTATTTTCAAAGTAGCAGTAGCAGTTTTGAGAACCTATTGCGTTACTTCCCGTTCCCGGTCACTACACCTTGTAACGTTGTAACCGTTAACGGAGTTGCCACTGCCACGCATACTCACTCAGTTTGACAGATATTTTGGGTTGTTTGTTTTGTTTCCTTTCACAACCTCGAACTTCGAGTTAAAGTTTGCACTAACTTAGGTCTAAGTAACTTAGACCAAGGATGAGTTATGTTAACTTTGATTAATTTTTAAATATGGAAAGTAAAACCTGTAATGAACTATTTTCTTCGGCGTATTCACTAAAAAGACACCAAAGAAATGTGCACAGTGGTACTAACAAAAGACTTACCTCGTCCAAGTTGTTATGCCCCGAGAAAGAATGCAATCAACAATTTCTCTGGTGGTACAAAAACCTTAGAAATCATATTCTACAAACTCACAATATCAACATCTCACTTGAAGCTGAAGAGTTTGTTTTTCAAACTGACGAATAAAAGGTATGTAGATGTATCTCTTATAGGCCTACCGGTACTTCTAAGCCTAAGCCTAGATTAACTTGTATTTCCAGGACTTAGCACAGTGTTGGGACATCGAAACATCAGTAACGTCGATATTAGTATCGATCGCCCTTTAAGCATCGATGTCAAAAGAATATCAAAGTCAAAATATCGATAGATATTGGAGAAAAACATCGAGGTTTAGTAAAAGAATAAAATGATGGTAAAAAATAAATATCTGAGTTAATATACTAATTTATGGGCTACTAAAAAAAATATTGGAGTGAAATATTGATAGTAGCAATATCGGAGTAAAATATCGATACTAAAAATAAATATGTGTACTAAGCTAAAAAGGGTGTAAAAGTGTATACCAACACATCCTATAGTAATATAGGCATAAACGAAAATAATAATAAAATCCAACACTAAATGGTTAGCAATACAATTCTAGCCTAGCCCTAGAAAGAGCGAGCGTTTCAGGGCAGGAATTGGACTAGCCTACTGCGCATGCGCTAGAAAGAACCAATTCAGTTGTATTTGGTCTTCAACGAGTCGACTCAGGAGTCATAACTTACTAGTTCAGTTCAGTTTCAGTTCTGCTGTTAGCTACCTCCGTGACGACTGACGATTGACGACTTGAGTCAGTCATCTCTGTCACCCCCATCATCCGTTGCATTTTAAGTACCTATTCGGTACTTTAATACTAACTATGGGAATGGACTAAAAATTGAGTTTTCCCATTTTTTACCCTTAAAACATTGTTTTTTGTATTTTTCAAGTTATTTTGTGATACTTGACAAAATTAATAATTTAAACTTAATATGTACAGAATATACCATGAATATTCCAGAGTACTTTTCCAGAATATTCTGAGAATGTTCTCCAGATTTCTAGGATATATAAAAAATTTCTTAGAATATTTTTTATTAATGATCTGAGTATATTCAAGGAAATTGCCTGGGATGTTGAGAATGATCTCAAACATTTTAGAAAAATTCCAGGAAATCCTATTATTTTTCATGTTGTATTTAAATGTTATACAGTATATACAAGTGAGTTAACAAATTTTTAGATTTTCTCGAATTTGATGTTGGCAGATGTTAATTGCAGTCCATGCCCTGGAATTTGAGTGGAGCAGAATCATTTCAACTATAAAATAAATTGAAATACCATCCAGAGAAAATATAGTAAATAAGGTCAACGATATTTGGTATCAAATTAAACTTACCAAATTCAATATAAGAGTTTTTGGAATTTTGTACATACTTCAACCTCCTTTGTTTGAATAATCTTTATGTTAGTCTGGAATTTTCAGTATTATTTTAGTCCCTTTATACATTTAAACAGACCAATGTATCTGCAACTACGCATGCAACTTAACGATTGCAATACAAAAACACCAATAAATAATAACAATGGTATATAAAAAGCTGTTGTGCAGGGCCGGACTTACCTATGGGCGAAGGGGGCGAACGCCCGGGGCCCCCGGGCCAAGGGGGCCCCTAGGGGCCCCCTTTGTACAGTAGTTTTTATTAATAACTTCGAAAATTGATCAGACACTTACCAAATGGCCTTCTTTTGTAACAGTTTTATTTTTATTTTCGTTATCCTATGTTTAAGGTTATTGTTAGGTGCATTTTAAGGCATAACTAGGAATTAAATTCTTGACCCTAAGGGATTTTTTTTCAGAGTTGCACTTGGCCCCACGCTTAGGCCTGGTTTACACGAGTATATGTGCTAGGCTGTGACGGACAAGTTTCAGTTTCAATGAAGCCGCTCGCCCGACTGTACGGCCGCGGCGAATGAGTTGAAGGGGGTCCCGCGCTTGGGGCAAAAATACAATAAATATGAAAACTCTTGTCCCAACGTAGAACGTAACTTGTAAAATTGTGTTGTTTTAAATGGAGATCCACTGGAGTTCAAATACTTTTTAAAATAAAAACATTGCTCCGTTTATGTTTTATTAAATGTTATTCTTTTCTTTTACCTCTAAGTATATACCAATCAGGATTTTAAGGGGTAGAAGTATATTATCCGTTCAATAGGTTTTGTAAAATAGTAATTAATTTATGCGTCAAAATTTTGATCT